GAAAATTAAAATTTGGAAATTTTGGGATACAAGAGTGTAAAAATTTAGGAATTTATGGATATAAGAGTGTAAAAATTTAGGAGTTTATGGATACAAGAGTGTAAAAATTTAGGAATTTAGGAATGTAGAAGTTTAGGAATTCAGGAATTTAGGAATGTAGAAGTTTAAGAATTCAAGAATTTAGGAATGTAGAAGTTTAAGAATTCAAGAATTTAGGAATATAGAAATTTAGGAATTGAGGAATATAAAAATTTAGAAATTTAGGAATATAGAAATTTAGGAATTTAGGAACATAGAAATTTAGGAATTTAGGAATATAGAAATCTAGGGACTCAGCAATGTAGAAATTTAAAAATTCAGGAATTTAGGAATTTAGGGATTCGGCAATGTAGAAATTTAGGAATTCAGAAATGTAAAAATCTAAGAATTCAGGAATCCGGCATTCAAAAGATGTCAAAATTTAATTTTCTGAGGAACATGTATCACATGACTTACACCATTATGATCCTTAATCCTTGTCTAGGCAACCAGATATCCATTTTTATATGTTCTACAGAATCTGCTACATTCTCGTAAAAATGTACCAAAATAGTTCCAAATCTCCATATTTCTGAATATTCTCATAACGACTTACATCATCGAAATAGAAAACCTATTCAAAGCTACTGTGACAGTACAGTCTGTATAGTCGCAAATATTTTGGTTGTCTACATAAGGCTTAACACTCCACTTGTTGCTCGGTCCGTTACCTGTAGCGCGCCCGTGCTGAGATTCGAGTTCCCGCTGCCGACGCTGGCGTTGTCGAAATCACCTGGGTGCTCGACCTGCGCATTGTTGTTGTTGTTGTTCTGTATCGGCATCGTCGTGTTCGTTCCATCTGGAGATGTTTCAAACAGAATTGTCTTACTTAATCGAACTCGAAAGGTTTCTTCGGTAGGTTATCGATGCAAACACTCTATAAACATGTCTTTTTAGAAACTAATACGTCTTTTAATAAGATTCGAAATGAATGTTTAATGTTCTACGCATAGTATCAGCGAGAATACGCTGTAAGAATGAGGAAATGAGAGGAATTTAGCGTTACTAATTATTGTCGAATATGTGTACTCTCGTGTAGAGAATTTATGTTTATAAATCAGCTATTATGGAAATCTCTTTATACATAAGAAGCAGGGATTATGGTAATCTTTCTTCAGACGAAACTCTTTCGATAGATCTTTTTTGCAGATTGTTTTAGAACAAGACAAGTTTCTTTGGTTATAACTAAATACTCCGTTTTTGCATAGATACAGACATTACCCTGTAATTCCTATAAATCGCAGTTGAACGAAATTCGTTTTACCCTATTAAGGGTTTCATCGTAGTTCGAACTAGTCGAAGACCTCGTTAAACTCTCTTAAACGATTTCTTTTAAAGAGTTTTAGGAAATCGAAGATCCTACGGGAGTATACACGCATAAAATCCGCAGTCCAATTACAGTAGAAATGATATTTAACCGTTCGCGAGACGAGATGCAGAGATATTCCGATGAAGCAGAAATTAATGCACTTATGCGATTTACGCTTCAAAGGAATGTCAATACACGGAGATTCCACGTTAATGAACTGAATGTTTTAATATACCCTGTATGAAAATTGGAAACTTCATCAAATAACTGATACTGTTTATTAAGTATTCGATACGCCGTTCGATATAAAACGTGCACGCTCTTATTAAGGAAAATTCCAATATCCCTGTACGGTTGCTTTCGGGTATAAATAAACGGGAAATATTCGAACATGACGGTGACAATTTTGTTTGACGTGCAAATGAATATTTATGTGTCCAGATAATTCTTTGGAACTGCGATGCAAATTCGGGTAATCGTTCGCGTGCGACTTCGGCGTTCCGCGTTTCGTTGTTGCCTGTTGGAGGGATACTACGTATTCGAAGCTTAATTAATATTAAAGCATTATAATGGACGTCTGTAATATTCAATTAGCCGGTAACGTTTCGACGCTTTACAAATATCTATACACAACTGCGCACGGGTGTGCAAACGTGTCCGTCCTAATGGTTACGTGATTGAGTCTCCGATGAATCGAAATAATGAACCGAATATGCAACGTAATCCGAATCGAAATTATTCACGTTGCACATCTACGATATCGAAGCAACCCAATTGCGACGCGTTGAATTACTAATTACACGAATGTATCCTTCCAATTATATTTTACAACGTTATTTGCCGAGCTTCTGTACAATATATATGGAACGGTATCAGTTTGCGTTCTTGTTACATTTCCTCTTTGCTTTTCATACGTCACGATTTATTTTCTGTTTTATTTTATAACTATATCAAAGAAACCGTGTTATCAAATATTCTCTTATCAGTAAAAGGTAGCCCTTATAAACAAATAATACGAACGAGGATGAACTAGAGAAACTGAAGTTCTAAATCAGATCTAAGCTCAAACAACCAAAATCTTATTTTTCGTTTAATCATCATTTGATTTTCCATTTCACAACCGTAAGAGTAGCAACCATAAGATTTCACAAACAAACTCAAACAGACTATTGCAAACATCTCTGATCCAAAGAAGGTAACCTACACAAGCTAATAATACAAACAGTGGCGAACCAGGAAAACTGAAGCTCTAAAACAGATCTAAGCTCAACAAACATCCAAAATCTCATTTCGTCTCCACCCCTCAATTTATTTTCCATTTCACAACCGTAAGAGTAGCAACCATAAGATTTCACAAACAAACTCGAAGAGACTTGCAAATATCTTCGATCCAAAGAAGATAGCCCGTATAGTCTAATAATACGAACGAGGATCGAACCAGGCAAACCAAAAGCTCTAAGAAAGGTCTAAATCGAATCCAAGCGGAACATAAATTCAACGTCTGGACGATCGCCAACTAACGCTTCCTGCCGATCAACCCTCCCAGGCCGCGTTGTCTCTCCCAGCGTGCTCATCCCGCGGTCTTAGTTGCGCAACTGGCGTTCACCTGCGGCCATTCAATTTTTTTTTCTAAATTGATCCTTGCGTAAGTGGCTTTTGCCCGTGTTGTTACAGCATTGTGCGGGCTCGTTGGCTCGCGGGACAATAAAGAAACGCGCCAGACGTTCCGGCGCGGGCGTTCCGCGTCCGTTCGACGCGGCGCGTATCGTGACGCGGCCAACTGGGCTCGGCGAAACGTCAAAGGATTTCCCTGCACGCGATCCGCGAGCGGCTTTCAACCTGATAATTGCCCGGCCGTGCGGTACGCGCACGGGGAAAAAACGTGCCCCGGCACCGCCCTCGATAAAAACTCGAATGTCTCCGCGAGGAAATTTCATTTACGCGAATTTTCAAGGTACAGTCGCTTTCGAAAGTTCGTTAACCCAGTTACCATCGCCGGGCGATTTAGAAAATGCGCCCGCATCGCTGCGTTCCCGCTGTTTCTTCTCTTTTTTTTCATTAATGTCTGGGGCTAGCCTTGACCGTGTTCATTCCCGATGCGAGTTAATGGCAGTTTGAATAGATAATAACCTTATGAAGCCATTCATGAGGTTTACTGCCGGATAAAAATGCTGTATTCGTGTTTGCGGTATGTGTAATGAATTCAGAACGTATCGATCTAGACGTGTACTCGCGAGGGAATGTCGATGGATCTTGCGATTGAATTCACTCGCGAGGTGGTCGACGGAAATATATTTTCTGAGCTTACTGTACGTCCTTCTTCTCTGTGTACGTATATTTAAAAGCCTCGTACAGTTCTTGACATTCTCGTCGGAGGTTTTTAGGGACATTGTCGAGCAGCCTCGTGACTTACGTTTGAATACCTAACTCTTTACGCTGCGAGTTTTATTATTCCCCGTTTGCACTGCTATCTTTATTTCAGATCCTTCAAAATTCTCCGAATAGAATGCACGATAATCGCGAACATCTCCTTCCTTTTTTCGGAATCATTAAAGCGCGTACGCGCACGAGGATACTTTGGACGAGATGAAATTCAAAAGAGAGATTTAAGTATATTTGTTTCAAAGAGCATTTTAATGAGAATGGCACTTTAAAGTAACTTCCCCGTTTAATTTAGGAAATGGGAGAAATTCCGGTAGAAATTCAGCTGAATGCCGCGGCGCAAAGGAAAAACAGCCGCGCTGGGAATAAAATTTCGTGGCTGAGATGCTTAAATTTTCATGAAACCCGGCCGCGAGAGCTTTTCCCCGTGCATTGTGTACAAGCGAAATTAAAGATGAATAAGCGCGATCTGGAAACACACGTTGAAGTCG